AATTATATCAGTGATATTAAAGGCCTTTACTGCAAACCCCAAAGACTCTAAAGCCACATCACCATCTTCTTGAAAGCCTATATGTGTCCAGAAGATATCAAACTTGCAAGCATGGATGGTGTTATCTTAATAAAGCATTTACTAAGGTGCCTTTCTTTTTTAGGGCTCCTCCTCCTTGGGTGCTAGAGAAAGATGCCTTTTTCACTTCATTATGTAGCAAGTTTTGAACTGATTTCCACAGAATGTTGTACTCACATTTTATTCCAATAGCTTGCATGAAACACAAAGAAATTGTAGGTAAAGAAATGTGTTTTATTTTGGTTTTAAGAAAACAGTTGAAAACTGTTGAAACAGTTGAAAACTGTTGAAAACTGTTGAAAACTGTTGAAACTGAAAACAGGTGAAAAATGAGTGCACAATGGAAAGGTAGTTTTAGAAGCTAGGAAGTGTTTGTGTCTAGTGCCTTGCTACCTTAAAGGTGTCATGCTGCTGTTTATCACCAATAAATGGAAAGCTGGAGCTGACCATAGGTAAATGCAGCTGGAGTCCAAGAACAGCAAGCCCTGGAAGACGATGGGCTAAGAATTCTTAAACTTGTAGAAAAGGCGTTAGGTTTGAATATCATGTGATTCTTTCTAGAAAACCATTTTTGTAATAAAACTGGCGTCAGGAAAGGACCTTTTCTGTCTCTGAGTGTTTTGCTGAGAACAGGACGAGGAAAGCAATATTGCTAAAGTTATGGCAGCGTGAATGTGTGTATTGCCAACCTTGAGCTTCAAAAAGCACAAGCCAAGCATCAAAAAATCCTGACACTAGTTCAAGTATTTTCAGCTTTTAAAAAATTTCACACATGCTCTGTTCTTAACACTTCTTTTCTACTTAAAGTTTTCACTTGACTGTGGGATCTGAGACTTTAGGAAAGATACCAAGATAGAAAATAAATATTCTTGTGGGAACTGGCAAAGTTGTTTGTAATCAAACAGCAGTCAGTGTAGTTAAATAAGTTAAGTCGATTTTCCTTTACTTGGTTTTAACTATTCTGTTAGGTCAAAAGCAAAAATAAAGGAAGGTACTATTGCAGAATGCTTTTAATTCTAAAAAAATTTCAAAACCCTGTAGTATTACAAGGCAAAATGTAGACAGAGAAAGGATTAGGACTAGAAATCCTATTTCCAGCCTCTGGAAGAGAAAAAGTACATTAGTCTAGAAAGAAAGTCTGAGATAACACGGTTTTGATTTTTGACATTTAGAAATCACAGACTCTACTTGGCAGCAGTCCTCAAATTCCACCTGCAGAACTCAATCAAAGGACTCTGCAAAGCACAGTAACTGTTTAATTTCTAAGTCTTATTGAACAATGTTGAGATTGCTTTAAACTCCAGGCTTTGGAAACAGTTGTGACAGCAAAAATGACCAAAATAAAAAATAAATTTAAAAAAAGGTTCTTAGTATATGAAAGTGTTCTGCTGCCTATTTTTAAATTTTCAGTCTTGCAGAAGTTTCTATTGAACCCAAGGCAGATTATTTGGAAAAATATTGGCTAAAGATACTGGTTTGCATGTATGTTTGTTTGTTTTAACTAATTTGATGTCATCGTAGTCTCCTTGTAGTAAATAATTGTTCTTAAAAATAAGCCCAGATACAGCGAGATACAGTGGCAAGGAAAGCATTTCCTAGATAAAAACCCTTGCAGACCAAAGACTGGTATTCAGGCATTCCCAGGTGAAATACAGAATTTCACTGGGGATCTTGTGTGTTACCGTTGTTTATCATACACATTATCTCTGTTTATAAATAATGTAAAGGAGTTCTAGGGGATTCTCCAGCTATAATAAATTTTATATGTGTGACAGAATGTAGCCTTTAGACTTACACAACTTTTTGAAAATTGTAATATTGTCAGGCTAACAGGGGAGAGGCTAAAAATCCTGTCTCCAGAAAGGTTCATGAGTGTTTTATTTTTGACTGTAGAATAATCAAGATTTTTCTCAAGAATTTCTGAAAAATCTCAATATCCTTCTGCATTCACCCACCCTCAATTAATTCATAATTGTTAAAAGTGTATCATAGAATCATTAAGTTTGGAAAAGATTTCCAAATCTTTTCTAGTCAAGCCTTTGACCAAATACCATCATGTCCAGGAAACAATAGAACTAAGCGCAATTTCCAGCTGTTTCTTGAACATTTCCAGGGATGATGATTCCACCACTTCTTTGGGCATCCTGTTCCAATACTTAACCAGCCTTTCAGAAACTCTTCCTTATGTTCAACCTGAACCTGCTCTTTTCCTCATCCTTGGAGACAGTGTTTCCTAGATGTTTAATAAAGGATGGAGGTTTTCTTTGGGTCTCCTTTTGTTGTTAACGTGTTTATAAAAATATTTTTTATTATCTTTCACAGCAGTGGCCAAATTGAGTTCTAGCTGAGCTTTCACCTTTCTAATTCTGTCTCTGCATGACCAAATGACATCCTTGTAATCTTCTGGAGCTGCTTGTCCTTTTCCAAAAGTCATAAACTCTCTTTTTAAGCCTGAGTTCCAGTGAAAGCTCCCTGTTCAGCCAGGGAGCCTTCTTCCCTACAGCCTCATCTTTTGGCACACAGGGACAGCCTATTCCTGCATCTGTAAGATTTCCCTCTTAAGGTATGTCCTTCCTCACTGTCCCATCTGAAAAGCTGGTATCCATGCATTGCAGCACTCCAGACATGTGAGTCATCCCACCACGTTTCCATGATTGGGATGATATCATACCTTTCCTACTGCACCATGGCTTCCAGCTCCTCCCACTTGTTGCCCATACTGAGCACATCTGGTATAGAATTTTGTGATTTGCCTTTTGTCTGATTTTTGCAAAGAAATGATTTGTAGCTCAAAATATGGAGTTTGTGAAAGGTAGGTTTGTCACAGTCATATAAATTATGTGACTAGTTGCAAGTTACTCTGCAGAATGAAATTTAACTAGAGACTCCTAATGAGCTCATAGGGAGAGGGATGTGGCCCATATTTTTCAGTGTCTAATGATGCTATTAAACTTGCCTTACAAAGGTAGCTGGACAATTTACATCTGGTTTTATGGTCTGTAGATAGGTACTGTTTTTTTGTAGGTCCATATCCTCTTATTATCCTATATGGCCTATAGACAGGTATAACACCCATTATTATGACCTTCAACAGCAGCCTGGGCTGCAGGGACCATACAGTAATAGAATTTAATATCTTAAGAGGCAGAGAAAGGTAAGTGTCAATAAAAACCCAGAACTTCATAAGAACAGATTTAATTTTGTCTCATCAGCTGTTAGGAAGGATCCTACAAGTATCTGCTTTGGAGACCAAAGGATTTTGGAAGTGTTGGAAAACTTTGAGGCAGCCTTGAAGATATGTCGAGAAAACAAGGAAGGATTCTATAGACATGGTAGTAGCAAGCAGAAATGCAAGGAAGATTCAAGACCACTGCTGAATGGCTTTGGCAAGTTAGGTCAAAAATGGCACAGGAAAGTTTCACATGCCTGATGTCTTCTTTGCTTTGGTCTTAACACCTAAAGTTAGCTGCAAGATCCTTTGGCAGGAAGCAGTGGCAAAACAAATGGCAAGCCACTAACAGTAGAGTAGGGTCAAATTACAAACCTTTTGTCCAAACTGGACACATACAAGCAGGTAAAATGTGACAAAATAAATGACTGGAAAAAGCCAGAACAGATTTACCAAGGTTACACTGTACTCCATTGTCTTATATTGTGAAACAACTTAGTCAATAAAGGATGGGAGTATTTTGAACAGCACCTACCATAATTTTAGCAAGTAATTTGTCATGGTGACTCACAACACCTTTGTTGACAGCCTGTTGACACATAACACACTTCAGACAAGTGTCACAAGTTGTGTGGAGAACTGGCTAGACTGCTGAGCTCAAAGTTGTTGTTGGCTAATGGCTGAAAGTCAGATTTGGAACTGGCCCCATGAGGAGTTCCTCACAGATCGACACTAAGTTTCATACTGTTTAATATCTTTATAAACAATAGGCTTGAATACAGTTGTGCTAGGCTTGCTGATTGTGCAAGACTGGGAAGAGAAGTGGAATGCGAGAAGGAAAAGCTCCCATAGTGAGGCAATGAGTTTGAAACCTGGCTCAACAAGGTTTTAAAAGAGATGAATATGAAGTTTTGATTCATCAGTTCAGGGGAGATTGAACAATTAAAGAAGGTTTGGTGAATGTGTCACCAAGATGATTAGATCATTAGAGAGCTTAATGTATAAAGGAAATATGAAGAAAATGGTTTACTCAAGCTAGGGGAGTGAAGGCTTTGTCTGGTATGAATCAGTTTTCCAGTCTCTGAAAGGTAGTTATAGATAAAATGGAAGAACGCTTTCGTAACAATGCGGTGATAAGATAAAGGCAGCAGGCAAGAACAGTGTCAGGGGACCTGTTGGACTCATTAGGCCAGGGGTCTCTCTGAATCCTTCAGAGAGAGATCAGAGTGCAGGGATTGAATTAAAGCCTTTGGATGGATTGAAGTATGTTAAGCCACTCACACATAAAGCAGAGGTGAAGGTTTAGGTTTTAGCATGAGTGAGCAAGCCAGGAAGTAGATGGAATGAGTAAGTGAGTAGATGGAGTAAGTAAGTAAGTAAGTGGAATAAGTTTTAAGTGCTTTTAGTGAATAAAGGTCTTGGATGCCAGAGAAGTAGTACATGTTCTAGTGAAGGTTGAAAAACATAGTCCTAGATACTAGTGTTTCTGTGGAGGCTCCAAGAACCTAGCTTCAGACATAGTAGAGTTATAGTTAAGAATATTGCTTACATTTTTTTAGTTAGAACAAGATTGGCCATGTAAGTAGTTTATACGTAGCCTGGCATGCTAAGAAACCAGAATTCTAAGGTTAAGAAGTAGTGGTCCGAGTTTGTGTCTTAGCTTGTTGGGAAGTTTCTATATATGAACACGCATTGGGGAGAGCTGGTGCATTTTGCCATTGCTTTTGCTTTTGACATTGCTTTGCTTTGCTTTTGCTTTTGAGACTGATGTGCTTCTGCAATAAATAACCTTATAGAAACTATTAGCTGCTTGGGTCCTTGAAGACAAATAACCCGACAAGAGCACGGGGAGGTTTTAACCTTACAGGGACCTCCCTCTGATAATGGCAAGACAGAGAACCATGAGAACCCATGTGTTGACAGAGAAATTGTAGGATCCTGTTCCCTGGAAATATTAGACTCTGATTCACAGGTACCTGCATAACCTGATACAAGGCGCTGATTTCAACAGAAGGTTGGATCAGATTAATTTAAACCCCATATAAGAAGTTTCAGCATCACTCAAACTAGATGAGTTGTGCACACACATATACACAGGCAAAAGTTGAATTTACTCTTAAGACTTTGGGATTACAGTCAAAGTAAATGCATAATACAGGTGTATTGTTGTGCAAGCTAGGCAAGACTGATATTAAGGCTTCTTAAAAGCTGGCTCAGGCCATTTATAAGCTGGGCTGGTAAAGTTATCTGCTTCATAACAGCCAGCTCAACAGCTACTGTTTTCTTACTATTTTTTATCATTAATGATACTTGGAGCAGTAATAAGAAATAATAAATAATCACTCATATCCAGCATTCTACAGGAAATTGTGTGGGATTTGATCTTGTTGGATTCCCTTCATGTCATTGTCTGAAAGACCCATGTTGTCATTATTGGAAGAGAAGACACTGGTGAGAGATAAAATCCGTGGTGTTGATACTTACTAATGAAATAGATTTAGCCATTCACTATAGAAAAGACCTTGAGAGACGTGAAAGTTGTCTGTCCCAAAGAGAGGCTATGAACTAAATGTGTGGTTCCTTTTTTCTGACATTATGACAGGCACAATTTGTTGCAGTGACTTTATCTTGTACTTTGGGCACTCAGTGAAAATAAACCTTATTGCATATTGGTTTTGTCTAGGAAGGAAACATTTTATTTTGAGCAGTGTGCAGTACTGCATAATCTGTGATGAAAGCAAACGTGGGTGGAAATTGTTTCACTTAGTTTAATATTTCGGTAGCTGTGTCACTGGAGTGTGGTTGTGGGCTTTTTTTGTGTTTTATTGTTTCTTTTTTTCTTAAGCCTACAGTTGAAACATTTATCTCTTCACAAGTGTGCTGAGCATATATCTTTGAATATGGTATCAATATGTCCTGACCCAGATGAAAGCTTCTTAAGTCAGTTTTTTGCTCAATCCTGTTTTTGCACATTAGCTGTGAACAGGATTATTCTTTAGTCTGTCATTCAAGCTGTTCAGAGAAAAAAAAAAAAAAAGAAAAAAGGAGAGAGGAGGGAACAGATTCTGAGTTTTTCTGTCTGACAGGGGACCAGCAGGATGGTGACCCCCTATGTAAAAACTACGTGTAAAAACTACAACTGCTTCTGATATGTATTACAGAGTATCCAACTGACATACTAGAAAACAGCAAAAACATACTTTGCATATTTTTCCACCTTTAATGAGAATTGAAATCTTCATTAGGGTATAATTGTAGCATCATATTTAAAGCCATCTTCTAGAGGAACACTAGCACAGAAGAGTCTTGCTCTGTTCCTGCCTCCTGGGGTTTGTGTGAGAGGACTTTCCTAAGTCTGTTTGTGATTACCTAGACTGCTCCAGGAAATAACTCTGGAAGCAGAGAGAGACTTCTGTTTATCCCTGGGATGTATTCAGTGATGGCCTTGGCAGGCCAGATTTCCTTGTCATGTGTCAGTTTGCCTTGGTGGTCATCCTGAGGTTTGTTTCCTGAAGGGTGAAGGCAGAGCTTAGTCATCTTGAATTTTGGTTTGTATTTGGGGACTAGGACCTGCAGCGAGTAAGAATTAGAGCCAGTTAAAGAAATGGCTTTTGTGTTGATGTAATAATAGCTGAATGCTCAGAGCTGCTCTACACCTCAGGCTCTGAGGAAGGAGGAGAAGTGAACTTTTGGGGACACACCAACACGTATCTGTTGTACCACGATTCAACTTGCTACATAGTCAGCATAAGGCAAAAGTCTGTGGCTTAGCCTCTTTCCTTTTTAGTGGTTGCAGCTCATTCCATGTCATGGATAGAACTTCAGACAGGCTCAAAGTCAGGGCTCCACCCAAAGGCCACTGTTAGGGCACTGATATGACACCATTCCAGCATGGTGCAAAGCCACCCTCTCCTGCCTTGCAATGATGTTAAAGGCATTTCCACCCTGGAAACAGAGTTTGTCAATTTCTATTCAGATCTTTAAAACATGATTTTACTTATCTATATCCTTTTTCCATATATCCAGGCTGAGGACCTGTAGGTATTCAAACTGTACTGTTTGTATTGTTTGCATTAACCATGCAAATGGTTAATTCTCGTTTCCTCTGTACGGCTTTGTCATTCCCTGTAGCAGGAAAGCTGTTTGAAGTATTTCACTGCACCCTGCTTTGTCTTCAAATGGACAGGAGTCCAGCAGAAATAAGTAAAGTTCCTAGCCATAAGGCTCTGTTTATCAAGTACATGTGGTACTGATAAAATTTAACTTGTGGCAAAAAGAACACTGAATTTTCTTCAACAGGCAGCAAAGTTTCCTCATCTCATTTTTCTCACTGCAGAGTTTGGTTTATTCCTCCTTTGTCTCCAGCACTGATCTCTTTCATCCTGATATGCAGGATGAAAGTATGCATCCTGATTTGTTCTGCTGAAGTACCAGGGGATTTCAGCATCCTGATTCTGAAATGTATTATGCCTGACTTCTGTTTGGATGTGCAGAAAAGGACATTGCACAAGGGGCCTCTTCCCACCAGAATACTCCACAAGGGGCTTGGTGTAATTGCAGCTCTTGCGTTTCCCTGAGAACAAAGGCTTTTTGCTTCTTCCCCAAATATTCTATGGAAGGATAAATTTAAGGCAAATGCACCAACTAAAGGAATTGTTTAGCTGTGGAAAAACCCTTGAACAGCTCTCCTGAAGATACAGGTATCATTCTATTGTACCCCTCTTCTGCATGATTTTGCCTTTGAATTTCTGAGTGGACTGAAGCAATTCTTCATTATTCCATCTGAGACCAGAATTTCATGGGCTGAATTAATGTCAAGCATAGTAATTCTTGTTGTGGAAGAAGTGATGAACTTTTTTTGTGAGAGAGACACAGCAATATGTTTATCAATAAACAGAGATTTAACAAGGCTAGATAGTAAATGTGACAGTGGTTGGCAAAATTCATTGGCAAGGTACATTTGATTATTTACTGCACAGAGGACAAGGTCAGGCAAAAGTATCAGGGAGATCCTCTGACTGAATTATAAAGTTCAGAAAGGACCCCCTTGCATTTTAAACTCCTTCTCAGAGGGGAGTGTATATGTATCTGGATCCAGACTTAGCCCCAGACTTGGTCAGTGCCTTGTGTCTAAATGTGCACAATCAGTCCTTTGTATTAGTTAGCCAAGATTTCCAAGCTCTCCATGCTACTAATCACTGAGAATCTGTTTCAGCAAGGAATCTCTCAGCCTCGAAGAGTAACCTTGAGATGCATCTGTACTCAAGAGTGGATTCTTCTGTGCAGGAGAGCTCAACAGGTCCCGGACTGTCTACTGTTATGGAGTAACAGAGTTATAGACATATTTGCAGACTGACTACAGAAATTAGTCTCTTCCAAACTTGGTTTGAGTCAGATTTTGACCAGCGTTATGGTTTGGGGAAGGAGTGTGTGTGTGGGGTGGTTGTTTTGTTACCTGTCTCCTTTGAATCCCCTATGACTCAGATGCAGTCATCACAGCCAGACACATTTGTTACCATCACTACTGATGGTAATGGGTTGAGCAGAGTTATGGGAAATAAAGGTCAGGTTGGGCAGAGGGGTGGAACGCACCACCACCATTCTGAATGGGTCTGACAATATACGAAACACTGTAAAAAGATCATTCAGCTTGGTGTGTCTTAAAAATTGTGATATTCTGCATGAAGTAACAATAACATCAGTCTCTCTTCCCCTCATTTATTTTGCAGTATGCAAAATGCATTTTTCCTGAAAGAATTCAATTTTTTAAAGTCTGAAAATGTAGAACTAGAACTTGGTCTAGTTCTTGAAAATTTTCAGACTTTTAAGTTGGAAAACCCACCTCAAACAAAATTCTGAGACGTTTTGTCTTCATTGAATCTTTTCCCCATGAAAACACTTTTAAAAAGATTTATAGACTGTTCTAGAAATTATGCTTCCATATAACTGATTCTAGAATTCTATGTTATTCTAGTAAGAATAGAATATGCTCTATTATATCAGCAGGAAAAAAATAGTTTTGCACCAGAGGAATATTAATGACTTGAATAAAATACAGAATAGTCAATAAATAGTATCTTCCAGAAAGCCAAAATCCCCCACATCCTGATATTTAAATTTTATTTTATTCTTATAACCAATTCTAATAATTCATATGCAAAATTTCCAATTATTGCATTTGCACTTACTTGGAGTCTTTCAGACAAATTCCCTTCCAGGAATTTGGAAGCTTTTCATAACAGGTCAGAAGAATCTTCTTCAGCAGCATCAGAACTACTAAAAAGGTAGAAAGAACCTTGTGTTTTACTTTCAGCAAGGAAGTTATATGGTGGGGAATCAGACTGCAGAGGTGAGCTGGAAAGTTACGTAAAAGATCACGCACCAAGATCCTAACTCAATATAAGTAATGTGATTTGGGGCTGATTTTGGAAAATGCTGAGCATCTGCGGAGCTGTTGAATTTCAGCTGGCATTTTGCTCCTTGCTTTTGAAAACTGCAGAAAGCCTGCTAGGTCGTGCAAATAGAAAGAAAGGTACTGAAGATCAATTTGTAAGGTCATGATTTCAGGAGTACTCACTGGCAGATATGGGTATCCAGATCTTCTTTTTATGTCAACAGCCAATAAATAAGCCTATGTTTTGCACAATGTGCCACAATGCAGGAGAATTTGGTGTATAGGTGAAAAGCGAATGTAAAATGGAAACATGCTAAGTGGGGCTTTCCTTACAGTATGCCACTGTTTCTCAAGCTAAAAGAAGCCTAAACTAAACCAAAAGCAAAAATCTACCCCCCAAAATACATAAATAAAACTCCA